ATTGTTTTTGCACAAAATCAATTTGAAAACACAATTAAGAGGCATCACTGTCACGAGAATGAAAGGGGGACAACTCATATTGAGTTATACTTATTATAAAACCCTCTGTGTGTGTGTGTGTGTGTGTGTGTTCATTTACATATGGGATCGGATTTCCTACATTTTTCAACCGATTTCAACAAAACTTCACTTTTTTTATGGCAGGTAGTGTTTCTTATTGTCTTGCACACTTTTTTCTTTATTTTTACATTCAGAATGCTTTAAAAATTCCATTTACAAGACAATTGTTTATAATAAAATTCTATTCAATCGGTAGACTCATAACGATTGAAAACAATGTTTTTGTTTGAGTTTGGGTTTGACCAATTCGTAAAAAAAAAAATTAAGAAACATGTGTCAGTCAATCTTAAACAATAATCTTTGTCAATTTTATTTTTCAGTCTTTATGATGGTCGATACTTGATCTCTTACTGTTACATCCCCGGGCAATGCTAGGCTCTACTGCTAGTAATGTCTATACCATACATACTCATGTATAAGTTGACTTCATGTATAGTGCAAGCCCTAAATTTTTTTTTCATGAATTTTAACCTCTTAGAAATTGCATAATTTTTAACTTAATAAAAAAAAAATACCTGTGCATAGTGCGACCACCTATATTTTGCATAAAAAAAAAAAAAATGATCACAAAAATTTTCACTTCATTCATGTATATAGAGTATACATTATTTACAGACTATTATTCTCACCATTGTTGCTATTATTACAACATTACGACCCTTGTTTCAGCTAGTCTTCATCAGATACTTGCTGATCCAGGTAATCTTCAGGGAATTTTAAACTGACCATGTCTAGGGATATCTTGTCTGGTTCTTATTTTAATAATGCTCAGTAAGTGCTTGCCCCATTTTGACAGAATTCAAGTATGCACTCATCAGCAGGAAAATTAGGTTTAAGGCTTCAAGTTCTATACACAGGATTGTCCCACAATACAATAGCCTAGTGGATTAAAACAGTAGATTGTGAATTTGGTGATATAGTAATAGTGAATGTAATCTCTGGGCTGATCAGCTCAGCATGCTTTATGGCTAAGCTGTCTAAAAGCTCACTGCACTATGCAATTGTTCTATCAACATAAGGTGGGTGCAGGTTTAAACCAAGGCCAGTAGATGACAATTATACTATTAAAAACAGATGTCTATTCACATACATGTATCCACTAAATACAATGTATAGAGTAATAATGTGTGTGTGTGTGTGTGTGTGTCTGCTATTTTTGATTACATTGAGCACTCTTTTTTCCAGTGTGCAATCTTAAGCAGACTCTTTTGGGAGCCACTTATCCTTATTTTAATTATAAATGCTCTAATGTGAGTGACTTTAGTGGCCTGGTATTGCAGACTACTTTTTTGCTTGAAGCTCTAAGCTCCTTTAATGTGGTACTATTGTTATGGCATTGAGCACTTTTTTGCTACACTGGCAAAGCCTTTTCTAGCGGACCTTTTTTTTTTTTTTTGGTTTATGGCTATTTTGATCTTGGTCGGATGGGTTACCCTCCTCCTGACGAGTTTGGTTGGCTCACGATCTTGACCTCGCCTGGTGGCATGAGGGTTCCTATATTACAAACTATAGCCACTGACCACACGAAAGTGCATTAAACTAGAAGTTGAGGTTGGTCATTGCCCACCTGGAATTTGACTTTGAAATGTGTGTGTATATATTTCATGAAATACATTGATTTGGCACACATCATCAATGATGATTTTAGGCAAGGATCATTAGGAGTTATGGGTCTTTCAACATCATACCCACTCTCCACAGTAGCCCAGTTGATATGGATTGGATATTGACTTGTGTGCCATCTGTAACTTCTCATTATACACACTGTGATTCATGCTCATCTAACAGTTTCTCTCTATCTCTCTCTCTCTCTCTCTCTATATATATATATATATATTTGTTTGTCATTACCACAAATGTTAATGTTATCATTTACAGATGTGAAAGTACTATAATGGTTACCAGTGTAGAAAATGGAATTGGGGAGCAGAGTTCAAATCCTGGCCTAGTCTGTTGCATTCATTTTTACATTGGTGTCCTTGAGAAAAGCCTGAAACCATTTTTAACTCCACCCACTCTACCACTAGCTATAAATTAAATAAAATGGTAGACTGGGACCTCTAGACTTGGGAGTAACCAGTCTAAGAGAAGGAAAACTGAATTTAGAATCATGGAAAAAGCAACGAGAGGCCAGACCATTCTCTTTCCCAAGACATGGTTCTTGATTAATTGATTCATTTTCTTTGACTCATCAATCATTTTCAAGTTATTTAAATCCAGAGAATCTTTCAGAGCGTAAGAATTTTAAAAAAATTATTTGGGGGGGGGGGATATTCGTTTTATTATAAAAGTCTTACTAATTAACCCATATCTGGAGGAGGGGGAAGAGTTGACTTCATAGCTTTCCCAAGAGTAAGTGAATATAACAAACCCAAATGAAACTGGAACTTGGCTTTCCAATTAACAATTCTGAGCCATTATCCATTACACCACCCACACATTCAAAGCTTACATTAGCTGGTATTCTTAAACGATTACCCACCAAGGTACTTACCAAGCTTGATGCTGATTAATTTCAGTGATTGTTTGGGTATGGTTCTTCACAGATAATAAAGTAACATGATTACTAATATCTTGAAGGAACATGGTATTTTTTTAAAAAAAGATTTTATTCCATTTCCTTTTTTTTTTTTTTTTTTAAGAAATGTTATAATTTAAATATGTGCGTCTCAAATGCAGGTGATATCACATGTAGCAGAGTGTTTTAAGAGACATATTTAACACATGGCACTTGCAAGTGGACATTTGACATTTTCAGAATATTTACCAAATGTACAACAGTCTCAGTATTTCAGAATTGGTTCGACATTGTTGCAACTCCAAGTATTTGTCAAGTTATGCTCATCTGAAGTTAATCAAAACTCACCCAATTTTAATCATGTAAGTTTTAGATGGTTAGCTCTGGCTAGATTTTAGATGGCTAGCTCTGGGTAGATGTATTTTCTCATTTTTTTTTTTTTACAAGTCAGTGGAATCTTGTTAAAATGAATGTTATAATTGACAGACAGATTTAACTTGATGCTCTTTTTAAAAAATCACCATATAGGTTATTTTTAAAAAGATGTGGATTTTAAAGCCTTACGATATACAGTCAAATTAACTCAATCTTTTGTAATATTTTGCCTGTCTTTTTGTCTCAAAAAAAAAAAAAAAAAAAAAAAAAAATCTTTTTAAATATCTAAGATATCTAAGACATGTCTTCCTCCTTTTTAGCTTAAGTTCCAATATTATTAAAACCATTTAAATCTGCAAAATGTAAAAAGATTGTTCTTGGGAAGATATTTAAAACATATTCATTTCCTTTCAGACATTAAATTGATCATTACACATTTTTGGTGTCATTGGTCAGGCACCTAATATTAGTTCCCAACATTGTTTTTATCAGAAAACCATGATCTAGACTTCTATTCCTGTTTTTTTTTTTTTTTTTTGGGGGGGCTAAGTCCTTTTATACTCAACATCAGAAAAAGGCAGCTGAAGTTTCTGGGACACGTCATGAGAAAGGAGGACCTGGAAAATCTGATACTCACAGGTCGAATAGAAGGAAAGAGAGACAAGGGAAAGCAATACATGACATACCTGGCGGGCTTAAGCAAGTGGATGACAGAATGTGGTCTGGGGTAGGTGACAGAAGGATGAAACTTATTGAGAGCCACAAGAGATAGGGGGAAGTGGAGAGCCATGATCACCTACATCCTGAAAGGACATGGCACATAAAAAGAAGAAATCCCTTTTTTGGCATTAAGTCGAAAATGAAGTCTAAAAATTAACTAATTTAATTTAGATGCAAAATTTTAGCACTTTTAGGGAATTTTGGCACTTCAAAGATCAGGTTTTCTATTACCTCCATTTTTTAGTTAGTAATGGAGAATTTTTGTTTTAACCTTAAGTACAAATAACATTAATTGATTGTAGTCGGGATCAATGCGAACAATCCCTCCTTCCTTAGCTGCATAGTATGTGCTTCAATAGTACTACAGTTTTGAATTCAAAATTTTCCTTCTCCAAGACCAGTTGCCACCCAAAGTTATAGAACACAGTCTGTCCTACTATCTGACCCATAGCTGGGGTAGATGAGAAGAGTTGGATTCATGCCTTGCTCAAAGGCATTAGTAGCACACAAGTGAATGTAATGAACTTGACTGGAATTCAAACTTGGCTCTTCAATTCCGCAATCTGAGCCACAATCCATTACTTTACCTTGCCTCCTAACATTAATACAGTTCCATAACAGAGCTGAAAACTATTCAGGAGACTCAAAAACTGCGATTACCCACTTGACTATTGTGCAAGCTGAATGTATTTAAGTGATATCATAGGCAAAGCCATTATAAGGGAATTTTTTTTTTAAGCATTTCACCCCAAGCAAGGCAGGAGTGCTACTAGCATGCAAGGGGTTACAGAGACTGAGTGTCAGAATAAAGAGGGGTGTTTGAGGAAAGGATATCAAGAAGAACGGGGAACAGGATCAAGCCATCAGAAGATGTCGACTGACATTACACTTGAAGATTGTAGCTATCAGGGAAGTAAGTAAGAGGAAGGGAGTTCCACTGTTGGGAAGTGCAAGAGAAGAAGCTGTTGGAGTAGAAGAGATGATTACATTTAACTGTTTCAACAGTAAAAGAGTGGGACCGAGATGCCAACCTAGTAGCATGCTTAAATTCATGCAGTTGGGGTACCAGTGAAAGTAGCTTGTCAGAAATGTATTTAAATTTTTTATTTATTAAGAAGAAAAGTGCAAAGTAGTTGCAACAGTTAAGATCAGGACTGTATACAGAGTACAACAATCCTATGTAAAACAAAAAAAAAAAAAAATGGACTAATAGTGTAATTATGAAAGGACTTCACATAAAACCTTTGAAAATAAATGAGACTTTTACCTGCAAAGTTCAAATGTCGGGCCAACAGGTTGTTGATATCGATAAATGATTGTTCAATGACATGTTCCAAATTGTCTGTCTGTGTTAACCAGAAAGTGATAGCTTTCTTCATACGTTGACTTACAAAATCAACAGCTTCAGTTCCCGAGTGTCCATCAAACATTCCCAAATACAGCAAGTTGGGAGAAAGCTCCTCAATGACATAACGGTCTTCATTTAGTTTCCTACGTCCAAGTAATGTGGCACTGCCGATCTCGCTCACTGGGATTTTTGGAATAACTTTACCCCGTTCTACGCTCTCTTCATAAAGAAGAGGAAGTTCCAGACGACTGTTCCAACAACCGAGTGTGTCAAAGTTGATCCCAGCTTGGCGACTGCCTTTATTCTCTGGGTCAGACAAATAGTTTCGTTTTGGAGAGGTGTGATAATTTTGCCATACTGACTGCAAGGTTGGAAGATTGAAACCACCCAACAGCCATCGAGAAAAAAGTGAAGAGGTCAACTGACCACTTCGCACGGTGATAAGCATTCAAGAAATTTCAAGATTGTAGACACTAACAAAATGGCTCACCTGAAAGAAAAAGAAAAGAAATTATAGTTATTTTTTTTTTATGCACAGTATCTGTAACATTTAAAAATGGAGATATTTTTCAGAAAATTTCACAAAATAAATTCCCTCATCAAACAAAAAAGAAGTCTAAATGAATTAAATACAAAATTTGGCAAACATGACATTACATACCTGCAATAAGATGGAGTGTCAAACAGATGGTTTTTCCTATGACACCACATTTTTAACTATGTTTAGTTTTTGGCAATGTTTATTATTTTAAAAAACAATGTTTTATTGCTGGCACTTTTATCTATGTTTGCCTCAAATTTAATCTCTTTTCAGGATTTTTGTTTCTTCACTGCAGACCAGGATTTTTGTTTTAACTTTCCCCTTACGTACAAATAACACTAATACAGTTCCATAACGGAGCAGAAAATTATTCAGGGAGCTAAAAAAAAAAAAAAAAATAAAAAATACAAATACAAAAACAAACAAACAACAACAACAACAAACACACACACTTGGATCTATCATTCTCTGTTTAAGTGATATAATATACAGAAGAGTTATTTGAGATCTATAATTAAAAAAAAAAAAAGAATCATTTCACCTCAAGCAAGGTGATAATGCCGCCAAGACCCATGGGGCTACTGGTAGTAAAAGAGAATGAGGACAATAAAAGAACAGGTTTCAGGAAGCCAGAAGACGGTAATTGACATTATATTTAAATTTTCGAACATTGTAGGTGCCAGGGAAGAAAGAAATCAGAAGAGAGTTCCACAGGTGAGAAGTGCTAGAAAAAAAAAACTGTTAGAATAGAATTTATAGTTATATCAAGCTATTTCAACAGTAAAATGATGAGGCCTAGCTGGTAATCTAGAAGTACATTTAAATTTATATGGACAAGCTCATTAGAACAACACCAATGAAAATATTTATAGAAAAGACAGAGGGAAGCTACATCAAAGTGATAGGAAAGTCAAGATGCCTAGTCAGGACTGATAACATTACAGACTCTCCTTTGGATTTTTGTTGAGTATCTTGAGATATACAGCTGGAGCATCAGACCAGATATGGCAGCAATATTCAATGCACGGACAAATGGTAGATTTATAAATGTGGATTCTGACAAGAAAAACTGTCTGGCACAACACAGTGAACAGACCCTCTTAGCAGCAGACCTAGCAATGGATTCAATATCTCTTCATGTTAGCCGAAATGTGAATCCAAGAAAACGTAAGGAGTTGTTCTCCTGGAGGTTAGCATCAGCCATATGTTGATGATGGGGAAAAATTGTTCTCTATGATGACTAAAGGATAGCAGTTTTATCTTGGAGGAATTAAAACTTACAGGCCATTTCTTGCCCCATTTAACCGTTATCACACTAATTTCTTTCTAGGATTGTTCCCCTACCATTGCATTTTTTTTAAGGTTCAAAAACTTGAACACCTACTGTTTTAAAACTGCTATTTTGTATTGTGCGTATAGATTATAATTTTTGTACACTAATAAAAGTATGTATGAGTAATATTTTGATGTAATGCATTACGTTTTGCATGCATGTTTTGACATTGAAAACAAAAAATACTGAAACAAAATAAAAACAGATACATTAAAAAAATACATAAATAATTTGACGTATTTTAACTTGTATTACTCCTTGCAGAGTTTTGGTGGTGCAATAAGAAGCAAAACTGCTAAGAAGGCTTTCATTTGTCAAAAAAAAAAAAAAAAAAAAAAAAAAAAAAAAAAGAAAAGTGACACATTTCCTCACGTTTACATATGAGAAGACACTAGCATTTGTTTGCTCTTTATTTCACCTGACTCATATTTGTCTCATTGATGAGTAACATTATTATTTTGTTGTTTATAAATAGATAAAATAATTCACCTTCAGAAAGGCTATCAGGTATATCGATGGTTGCCAGTAGCTTCCATAAAATTAGTTAGGCATGGATGATAATAGCTGCTAATGGTCATCTTTGCTTTCTTCCATGCTACTAGTGTGGTTATCATCTTCGACCACTTCACCATCAATATCCACTAAAGTAAAGCCTTCTAAATCATTAGAGTCCTAATCAAAGAAAAACTTCTGAATAAAGGCTTTGTTGGATATTGACATGGTCATTTTTGTTTGCAAAAAAAATTACGAAAAAATTAACTGGAGTTTAATTGGTGTTACACCTTGTGTAGACTCTAGAAAAATTCAAAATGGCATTGAAAAATGGAAGTTTAACCTTCTTCCAAAGCAGTAATAGGCTATTTCCAGCTTAAAATACCAGAAATAACAGTTGACAAGTATTTATTTATTTGCAACTGTCTCAAGGTGACAGATTGCGCTTAGAGTAGCAAAGGGAGAGAATTCAACAGTGAAAATTGTCACCTGCAGCATGGTAATGGTTAACAACTGATTGGAAGTCATTTTCAAGAACAGCTGCCAGTTTGTAAGACTTAATATTAAGACAAGAGTAAATAGTAGAGAAAATGTGAGAGAAGTTTATTCAAAGACAATCTATCCCTATGACTAAAAGGGAAAGACTTTGCACCCTTTTCTTTTATACATCTTATAGCAATGACACTAGTGGTTGGTAGCAGAAATTCCTTGGCAGACAAATGGGGTAATCCAAAAGACCATTAAAATTTTAAAAAAACATTCAACATAAAACAAAAGATGTATAAAACACACACACGTGTGTGTGTGTGTGCATGTAGACAGGAAAAGCTTAAAAGAAAATAATTATGAATATGAATTTGTCTTTTTGTTTGATTCTAAACCTGTTTATTCAAAATATTTGCCTGTTTCTTTGTTATTATAATAATCTTTACTAAAAATGTCAAAATGCTCAGGTTGTCTCACAAAAGCCACAACCACTAAGAATATATTTGTATATCACTTCACCTCTTATTGACACCCAACCTAAACCACTTCATTTTAATCTTCAATGACCTTGTCTGATCAGTCCCACCCTCCAAAAAGAGAAGTGTGGGACATTAAGCTGTACAGATTAGACGGCCAAATGAATAACTGAATCTTAACAGCAGAGAACTTAATTGCTACTTGCTGGTCGGGGGTGGTGGTGGCAGATAAGACAGTCAACAGTTGGATTGGCCTATGCAGAAAATATGAAATGTTGAAAGCAGGGGGTGAAGAGAAGGAGAAAAATCAATGACAATATGAACAGAAAGTAAACAAAGGGATTAATTTCAACAAATGACAATCAATAAATGTCCACCCCGGGCCAGAGGCTTGAAATCACACCAAACTGCTTCAAGCAGAGGAAATACTTAAAGGCCATGTCAGAAATTTGGTAAGTCACACAACAAAATACAAAGAGACCAATTACAATATGGTTAATGCACTCTCCATAGTACTGTGAAGAAACTGGTGCATATAGGCACACACACACACACACACACACACACAGTAAATTTCTTGGCCAAACACACTCTCAATGTATCAACTGACCAAACATCAAAATTTATTTTAGAATCTTTTCAATAATCCTCCATTTATTATATATGTATATATAAATGCATGTATATTCGTACATACACATATATACATAAGGTAAAATATAGTCAAAAGGTATGCTATATTTATCAGATAACGCTTAAAGTGTAAAAGTTCTCAATATCTACAATACATCACATGCAAATATAAGCAGTGTGGACACAGGGTTCAACACCAACCTGGAGATCATGTTCAAGCATGAAACATACTGTCACCATTCAGTGCTGAACTGTGTCCTTACTACTTGTATATATAACCACACACACAACTATTACTACTTAATAGCATATAACCATCCATCCATCCACTAGAGTAGTTAGCTAATCCCTGTTGGAGATGCCTGCTCAGACACATTTGCGTTTCTTCAAGAATTCGAGCAACCAAAGAAAGGTTGTACTTACTTCATTGGTAATTATAATGGTCACGCTTAAGTCAGCTTTGCACCGAGTTCAAATGATTGAAATAATTCTTACAGAATTTAAAATGTTGCATGTTGGTGCCCATTTTAGGGTGTGTGTGCATATTCACATGTAAACAATTAAAAGATGAAGCATACAAAACTTGGGTTTCTACCACAGACCATTCATTCACTTTATATATAAACTGTAGTGAAATAAAGTTCTCAATGTCTCTTGGGTATGTCTGTTTTCTTTTTGGTGCAGGAATTAGGGCAAGTAAGTATAAGCTATACAGGACAAATTCAACTCAGCCTTGTGCAGAGTTGGAATGGCCAAAGAAAGTTTTTAATTTACTTCACTGTTTGAGGGTTTAAGCATGATTATAATGGTTGCGCTCAAGTCAGCCTTGCACCGAGTTGGAATGACCAAAGAAAAGGTTGATTTACTTAATAGGTGGAGGTTTTGGAAGAAACATGTGAACACAAGGCATTGGAAAGAGAGTTTGGTTGTCAGTGGACTGTGTAAATGTGTGCCCCAGTAGAGCCATCCTTTTCCCATGTTCAACTACATCTTGGTAATAAATTTTCTTTCAAAAATTCATTGCTAGTAATAATTTTTTACAAAAACGTATTGCTCGTATTAAAACCTATTTTTAAACTTTCACAGTGTTTTGGCCTGTTTGATTGGGTGGGGGTGGTCAACTATTTGCCCATAGCTGGGACTCTTAACAAGTTCTACTACCCTGGGTCAAAGTGAACCTGGAACACCAGCAAAAGAGGTGGTTCAATGCTCCTCAAAACATCCTGATCAGAAGTATTGCTGCTGGATGTAGTTTATCATCTTTCCCAGGATGCTTAACATGTTGATGGTAGACCTGGCAAATTGGAAACCATATTGTTTGTCTGAAAGGAGGTTGTGCAAAGTAAGGTGTTTAACTAGTTTGGCATTGATTAAGAATTCAAATACTTTGCTGAAAATTGGTAAGAGACTAATAGGGCGATAATTTTAGGTGGTCAGAGGGTTACCCAGAGTTCTTAAAAACAGGAACCATGAAGGAGGACTTTCAACAAGTCGGAAAGCAGAATGTGGTATTTATATTACGCCATAGT